TTTTGAATTTTTATTGATCCTTGATCGATCACTCGTCAACCCCTTGAATTTCTCAATTTTGTCAGTTTTCTCTATATTTAATGATTGATATCTTATATACACCCTGAAAAGTGCAATTTATATGAATCTAATAACAGAAATTCATCATCTTGTAGAAGAAGAAAATATATCAACTATGAAATGGCAATAACCAAGCGCGATTATAAATGGCATAATATTTCTTTGATTCAGTCTGGGGGACTCGAGAGAGATGTATTTTCTCTTTTTCTCTCTCTCTCCATAATAAGGCCCGCGTGTAGCTCGCGGCGACATGCGCCCAAGCTCCTTTAACCAACCGACAAGTTCAAAGGTATAGTTTGAGACCGAGAAGCCGTTGCATCCCTTCGGTACCCGGGGATAAATTACATTCATACAATTCTGCTTTTGCTTCCTCTCGAAGAGGACTTTCTAACCACTGTGTGACGACTATCGTACCGCTGCGGAAACTCAACGCAGTACTTGAAAACCTCTGAGGTACAAACCAGTCACTTCGGTATTTCAATGAAAAATTTACTCTTGCAGTTGAGTCGGTTCTTGACAAATATTTCACATAGGATTTCTAAAAAAAAAATCATGCAAATACCATTACATTTCAATGAAATTAATTAAATTCACAATGTAAATTCTTCATCGCATATCAACGACTGTCGAATTTGGCGAGAAAAGCAGAACAATGCGCAGATTGTGAAATTCATGAGAATTTTTGGATTTTCATGAGTGAAAAATTCAGTACGATGCGCGCAGCATGCATTACCATTCTATATTTCTTTTTATTAATTAATTTTTTTTTTTTGAGAGTAAGCGGCTACACAGTGAATGAATGAGTCGGAAAAGAAAAGGTGAGGGAGCTCGAACCAAGAGGGTGACAAATGACAATGACAAATATTTGAGAAATAATTCACATAGGATTTCTAAAAAAAAATCATGCAAATACCATTACATTGCAATGAAATTAAATGAAATTCACGAGGTAAATTCTTCATCGCATATCAACCACTGTAGAATTTGGCGAGAAAAGCAGAACAATGCGCAGATTGTGAAATTCATGAGAATTTTTGGATTTTCATGAGTGAAAAATTCAGTACGATGCGCGCAGCATGCATTACCATTCTATATTTCTTTTTATTAATTAATTTTTTTTTTTTTTGAGAGTAAGCGGCTACACAGTGAATGAATGAGTCGGAAAAGAAAAGGTGAGGGAGCTCGAACCAAGAGGGTGACAAATGACAATGACAAATATTTGAGAAATA